ATTTCTTTAAATTAGAATCTAATATTTAGTAGTAATTAATACATCAAATAATGGCTTAAAATTAAATAAAGATTTTTGATTATATGAAAAATAAATTTTTATTATTCTAGTATTTACTTCATCAACTACAGGTATTTCTAAAACATAATTTTCTTTACTCATTGTTTTAAATATAGAGATAATTACTACAACTTTGTAAATCTTTTGAAAATTTAATTAAAGGTTTTTATAAAAATCAAATCTAGATTTATATATCTAAAGTTGATTAAAATATGATTTTAAGGTTATTATATAAAAACTTAAATCATTACAATTAAATTGAGATCTTACTTTTTTATTTTTTTGAATCATATTTTCTAATAAACTGTTCAAATTCTTTAAGAATGCTAAATCTTTGAGAAAAAGTATTTGGTCTGCACTTGTCAATAAATTAAGTGCATCAGATAATCAGTAATAAAATCCTTTGTTTCTTTTTCTGCTAGATCTTTATTCCATCTACCTTTATTTAATTCAATATAATTTAAAATATCTTATTTCAATATGTCTAAAGCATTCAAATTTTTTATTGAAGGTAATTTTGATAGATAGAATGCAGCTGAAGTAACTTTCATAATTTCAAATACATTTTTTTTGTATAGGATTTTTAATTTCATCCTTAATTTTATATATCAAAAATTTTCTAAAAATATTAATAATTCTTGTAACAATACAATCTATATTTATTATATCTCTTTGTTAGTCTTGTATTATAGCATACCTAATTTTAACTTTTGATATAATTTGATATTTTTCAGAAAAATATTCAACTATTAACTATTCAAATAATTCTCTTATAGTAGTTTCTTTTTTAATACAGTCAATTCTTAATATAGCGAACTTTTGATATAATGAATTTTTTGAACAAATATAATAAAAATACTCTTATTATAGCAAATTGACCAATTAAATCTCTTAAAATCTTCACTATAGTTTTATAGTGAAGTTGAAGTCTAGAACATAAAGTTTGTTAAAATAAGAGTTGACTGTATTAATAATATGTCAAAGAAACATTGTCTTAGTATTATGTAAGATATGTATTTTTGATCAAAAATTTTTATTATATCAAATATTTTTTAATTACGTCAAATTTAAAATAAATACATCAATTTTTAGAAATTTATACTAGAATAATTTATTTAATTTTATGTGAAACATGATTAACTATAGAAAATATTTTATATATAAATCAAAATATTTTGATCACTAATTAAGATATTTTGAGATTAAGTTACAAGAAACAGAATTTTAAATATGTCACGCTTTATAAGAGATTATTAAACAAATGTAATATTCTATATTAATAAATATAAAATATCTGTAAAAAAAAAATTTTCATTTAGTATTATTTTTTTTTAATTAATAAAAAAGTTTTTAAAATTAAAAAATTATTATTAAAATTAAATATCTCTTGTTAATGCAACATATTTCATTTTAAAATTATTATATTATTTTTATATATTAAAATTAGTATATAATAGACAATTTGTTTGAAGAGATCTTATTAAAACTACTAAACTGTTTAACTTTTAAAATTTACAAAAATGTTTTTAAAAAGTGAACAAACGTTTTATATAAGACAGAAATTTAAAAATATTAGTAATATTGTATATATATCATAATAAAAATTAAAATTAAAACATAATTATTTATATTATACATCTTATTTACATTATAAAGTAATTACCAAATTAATTATTATATTAATTTAATTAGCTTAGTCTATTATACAAATAATTACACAGCTGATTATACTTTAGTTATAAAATAATTTACAATAGCAAAAGTTTAATTATCTGAACTAAATAATTGTAACATAACTTCACAAGTAATCACTGATAACTTTACAATTACTATGAGCAATGCATTGATTGATAAATTTTTACTATTTTATAATAAAATATTTATTATGTATTGTTCATAGTAATTGTAAAATAATCTCTGATAACCTATAAGATTATTATTAATAATTTATATATAATAATTAAATGAGAAAGTGAAGTTAAAAATCATGAGATCCTATTTTCTTATATTTTATTTGAAAAAATATTATAATATAAAGTTTCACTAATTTTCTTTGTTTAATCTTTAATCAAGAATTATTTTAAATTTCTAATAAAATTTTTATTAGTTAAATTAAATTCATTAATTTAATAATATTAAAATTTTATGACTATTTTAGTATACCAATTCAAGTAGAAACTAAAAATTCTATAGCCTTACTTTTATATTAATTTTTTAATAAAAATATATGTTATAATAGATAATTAAAATCATAACTAACTTTTTTAAGATATACAAATTATAATAATTATCATATTAATATAACTGCAATTTTTATTTTTATTTTAGAAGTACTATCATTTATTATTGTTTCTTAAATTTGTTTTACTAATAATTTTGGTCTTTTTTGTAATTTCTATAAATCTGTTAAATAACGTTATATGAAAGTTTTTATACTATATATTATTTTATCCCTTAAATTGTAAATATAAAATTATTTATAAAACATTTTAGAAAACTTAAAATATTTTGATAAAGGGATCAGTATTTCTAGTTTAATTGATAACAATTGAGCTTTTATTATAAATTATACTGCAATAGCTATAAGTTCAGACTTTAGCTGAGGTATAAAACTAGATGATTTTTATAAGAATTTTATATATAACTGAATACGTGAATGTATAAACTAATATGCGTTAAAAACTGGTAGATTGATCTGTTAATCTACATTGATCATACTTAAATACTGGATTTTGAAGAACAAATGGATGCAAATGAAGCCAGAGATTAACAGAAACTTAGCTATCGCTAATAGGTCTATAATAAATACTATCTCACATCTTTAAACTCAGGAGGACTTACACAAGTAAGAAAGTGGTTAACCAATAATTAGTAGATCTAGAGTATATTACAGACTGACTTGTACACTGCAGCTATAGGCCAGATTTTATTACCATTAGGGTTAAAGGTCAGGTTTGATTTCTGAGTAAGTTTGACGCTATGGATACAAAGTCATTATTATAAAAGAATCTGATCTCTCAATCTTGGTAGTTATTAATAGGGTAAAATCTATAAGTAATAGTAAAAAAAATGTGTCAATCACTGTGACTGAAGTGAGCCTTTTATCCAATTCTGGTTTTCAGTTAAAATTCAAGTGAGGGTCAATTGATGGGTCAAAGCTAGTTGACTGTTAGATTATAATACAGATAGCAACTCACATAGTAGATATATATAACAAGATTATACTATGTTCATTCATATGAGACCTAAGGAGATAGGTAGGTCATTCATGAGTATCTACCTCAATCCTACCTCTGGAGTAAACGCATCTTTAAAAAAAAAAATCTTAAAATATTTTGATATCTAATGATTATAAAAAAATAAAATAAAATTTTTAGATTTATCATATTATGTTATATCTAATGGTAGTATTTTTAAACTTTTAAAATTAATAATTATCAATATATATTAAATTTTCAATTTTTTAATTTTTAAAAATAATTTATTATCTAATAATTACAAAATATAAAATTTAGTTTATTGGATTCATCACAATAAGACATATTAAATGGTAGTATTTTTATATTTTTGAGATTGATAGATAGCAAGATATATGAGTTTAAAATTTTAATTTTTTTTATAATAATTTACTATTTATTTATCTTTAAAAAATCACTAGTTAATTACATTTTTTTTTTAATTTTTACTTAGAAAACATTATAAAATTATTATAAAAGTATTAATTTTGTTAATAATATATTTTAAAATATTTAAAAATATTTAAATTAAAAATAAAATTGCCTACAAATTTGTAGTAGGCAAAACAGTTGAAGGAATAGTATTTTATTGCTTTCATGATTGTCTGAATGAGTAATCTCTTTGATTGTGACACAATCTCTCTCTCTTTTCTTACAGAATCTCAATACTCATTCATCCAACAGATTTCCAATATTTGTCAATCCAACATCTGCATTGAGTTGCATTAATGCAAAAGGTTTTGTGGCAATAGACGAAGAATATTTTATGTCATTTTTCGAATGTTTGAGCAGAATAAATAAATTTCACAATATCTAACGATTTATAACGATTAGTAATTAAAGCGTGATTTAGAGATAATGCTATTAGATTCATTAAATGATGATTATCAAGCGTATATATAGAATATAACTGATTGAGGTATACATATGTAATAATGTATTCATTAAAATCAATAAACATTTTTCCGATGCTTACATGTGTTAAAAATATAAGCTTTATTAATGATTTTTTTATCAATGTATGGTATACAGATATAATAAAAATTTGCAACTCATTACTATATATGTTATATGTAATTATCGAAACTTATTATGTTAACTTGTCCCAAAGACTTACAAATACTAATAAAAAAACAAATTTTGTTAAAATTACAATATATTTCTGAAATCATAAAACAGTTCTTATAATTACAGTATTTTCGATTTCTCAAGCATTAGTATCTAGTGTCCCGAATCCGAATTTAATCATTTCAGTTCTTGCTTCAGAATACCTTTCTATTCTCCTCTTTTTACGTTGAGCGATTAATTCATCTCTTGTATGACAAGCATACAGCTACACAATGATTAATTACCTTATTATTAACCACAATATAACACCTTGTAATAATAGACAATGAATTTGTGTCATACTTACTGCCCATTTTATCAACACTTCGTGCATAAAAACAAACTTTGAAATATGAGAGGTAAGCTATTAAAATCACGTTACGGATCATATGATTTACTATCGATTTTAATAGCAAACCCCCATATCTGCTCAATCCTTTGGGAGTCTAACTTCAAACAAACGATATACACCTAATGATCATAATGATCACATAAAATCGATTAGCCAAATTTCCAAGAAATATATATCACCATGAAGTTTTATGCACCACGAAGTGAGAGATACTTTAGTCTTATATGCTGTAACACCATATATTCTTAGGCTAGTATAGAGTTGTCATTGTCAGTAACTTCTGAGACAATTATATTATTGAATAATTGTGCCATATTCTTTATATTTTTATTATCATCGTCATCAATTTTTTGATTTCTCGCCCCTGATTTTGTTCCCTCTATGCAAACGATCTGATAGTTTGATGAAACATCGTCAAGGAATCCAACACCATCTGCATAAGTTCTTATGTTTTCTTGTAAAGGTATGTCACCACTGATAGAATTATACAAGCACATGAATAATGTAATTAAATCAAAGAGAAAGGAGAACTTCAACTTACGATATGTTCCAACTTACCTCAGTGTCTCTTTTAACATCGACTTCGTATTTTTAAAAGTTCTGAATCTTTATCACAAATCACTATACTCTGAACTAGTATTTGGCAAATGACCTTGAAATGACCTTAAATGACCTCAAATGACATCATTTTTATTATAAATTTCAAGTCAAAATTACCAAAGGTCATTTAAAAAATAGTAAATGACCTTATAATTTGCCATCACTGCTTCGCACCATCCTCGTCAGAATTAAGAAAGTCCGTAAGGTAATATATCTCGTCAGAAACTTCATGCAAAATCTGATCCTGTAAATTTTAATTTAGAGAAAGAAAGAATTCTGATCTTATCCGGAGATCCATGAATGAGGAATGACTGAAATTTGAAAAGAATATGTCTAAGACATCCTTTTCAGTTTGAGATAATGAAATAAAGTCCTTGAGAATATCACATACGAGCGTCCAGAGTTGTCACAGGACGGGTCCCACAGGTTTTAATGTTCCGTCCCGTCCCATCATTATGTCCCATTATGTCCCCAAAAATAGTTCTAATTAATCGTCTATCATATATATTCTATTATAGTAAAATTTGTTCCAAAATGTCCCGGACATAAAAAATTGAAAATGTTTCCTGGGACTGTCCCGTCCCATGACAACACTGTGAATGTCTATACAGAAAACAAGATAAATCAAATATTTTTCTAATCACACTAATAACGCGATGGACGCGTTACAAAAAAGAAGTATAGACCTTGCTATCTACATCTTCCCCTCCCTGTCGATATTATTGTTGCTACTGCCATCCTCGTTCTCCTTATTATCAGTGTTACTGATCAGGTTTTCATCAGTTCGATTCTAAACAACGAAAAATAATTAACGTTGCTTCGGTCCTCATAAGAAAAATCAATAGAAATAATTAACTTACCACTCCACCGTCAAGGTCATCAACGAATTGGGCGTCTTATTATTTTGAAATCGACCTTTTGTTAGTATCTAAGTTTTTTCGGCTCAAATAAAAACATACACATATTTTTTTCAATCATCATATAACGACCAATCGTCTTCAAGTCGTTATTGTCAAATTTCCTTTTCATTTCCAATAAATTCTCCGGAAGTAGGTTCCTCTCGCAACGCTTTTTTCAACCCTACTTTATAGTTATTATTAGCAGATGACTTGCTTCGAAAATTAAACCTCTTGAAGAAGTAGGACTTGAGAAACTTCAAGAAGTTGGATTGTTTTTCGCGAAGCTCTCGTATTTTTGTCATTTCCGCTTTCAGAAAATTTAATAAACGCTCTTTGTAGTAGCAAAGTATCTTGTAGTAGTAAAGTAGCAAACGTCACTCGTAATGTGCTGAGTCAATATCACATGATGCCTTATGACGATCTAGTAAAATTTTTCACATGACCGATTATGTAATCTTCCATACTCGTGCAAAAAACTATGGTTACTCGCTTGTATTCTGCGGACCTTATATTTAATATGTAAGAATCCCTCTGCTAGGTATTAAGTTGAAGGTCAGGAAAAAACTACGGTAATTCATCATGGATAAGCTTCAACATTCTGCACTTTTTGTTTATACTGTACATTATTCAACATATTGTTTCGCAACTCTTTTAAGGGAGTATTTTTTTCGTTTGCTATCTATTTCTTAACTTCAAGATTTTTCAACGAAATAACTTTTTCTCCCAATCAAAAATTATTAGCGCATTGTTAAAAATATAAGCCGAAATCTTTATTGATTTTTCAGATATGTGAAAAGAAATTTGAAATATGAAAAATGGCCAGAAAATCAAGCGAAATATACGATGCTATCGAGGGAGTACGCGGATCCTAGGCCATTTAATAGCGAGACTGGCATTCGAATAACTCATTAAATTTAATCAAAAAAAAAAGGAAAGTATTATTTATATAAATCACGTTGAACATTTTAGAATTGTGGAGAGAAAATCATCTTCCGAGATTCATTAATATATTTAAACTTTAATGCCAATTATTGTGTACCTTTTGAATAAAGGAAATGATTTCGCGAAACTTCGAAAAATTCTTTTCATTGTATAATGAATCATTTATGACAAGTTATAAAATTAATTTTATTAAAACGACAAGTGAACCATTAGAAAGATTTTTTTGCTTTTTATCAAAAAATTCAAAAAAAAAATACATTAGATTTAATAACAACTTTGATCTTAACATCCTCCTCCAAAAATAAAACGAACAAATAATTAGCTATTTACAGAAATAATAAAGATGAAATAAACATTAGCGTCGATCAGTAAGTTTGTAGCACCAAAGTAGGAAATTTGTTGAGAAATTTTTTCTTCTTTTCCTTCATTTCCTTGTTTCCGAAGGATCGTTCACATGATGGAACATTGATTCGTAGGATTAGGTTGTTTCGTTGCTTCAGAAGTAACGATGATAATTGGATCAGTAGTAATAACGTTGATTTTAGTGTGATTCATTTTTGATTTTATTCACGTGTTTTGTTAAGTGAAATTTTTGATTGATTCGTTTTAGTTGTAATCGTTAATTGTTATTTTTCGTTGCTTGATGAAAAATTGGAAAAAGCGAAGTGAGTTTATTTATAATAAATCGAGAAGATTAAGAGAAAAATATATTTTAACATTTTGCATTGTCTTTATTATATTTCTTGTTTTCCCGATTTATAAACTTTTTCCTTGTGCATGTGTTTTACAATTGTTTTTAAAAAGGGTCTATTGTGATAATCAATTAGTATTGTTAATACGGTGAAAACGGCTGACAGAATAAATAAAATTCGGGCTTTTTGATTGTTTTTTTAAAAAAAAATCCCATACAATTCCATATTAAGAAATCGAATTTATACAAAATGTCGATCAAATTGAATTCAAAAGGGGCAAATAATGCAAATCAAAATAAATCAAACAAATAACTTCTGCGATCTCTTTTAAATAAATACCAATTTCTAATCAAAAATTCAAGGAACAATCTTTAATCAAACAAATGCACTCAAAATAATTTATATTTATTTTTATTTTTATTTTTTTTTTTTTTTTACTACGGACATATGGGACCTTTGCAATAGAAAAGGGGGAAACGGCCGGAAAAATAAATCTTACTTTTATATGCCAAATATGATTTTTAGGTCAAAATATGTTCAGATTGCAAAGGTCCCATATGATCTATTTCGATTCACAAGTCTTGATTTAAAGACGTGTTTTTTTTTTTTCATTATACTAAAAATAATTCCATTTCCATTTTGCTACATGGAACAATTATAATTTTTACAAATTTTCCTCCCTCACTTCGTCATATTTGGTCTGCTAATTCTCGTTTCAAACTTTTTTTTAAATCTTGTTTGTAAGCAAAAAAAAAAAAAATTAAAAACAAGAAGATTCGCTCGATCAGCACTTAATTCTTCCAAATTTTATTCGTGATAATTAAATACTCTACCCCAATAAAACTTATGTTGTTTAAATTCTTTATCACGTGAATATTACCGCGACAAAGATGTTGAATATTACTTCCCATTCAAAAAATCTGCTGGTCGTCAAAAATATCGCTCTTAACGGCTCATCGCTACACATTGACTCAAATAGGCATAATGCCTTCATGTCCTTTACATTTTTTTTTTTTGTTAAAAATTCGGATCAGATACTAATAATAACCCGTTTTTCGTCACGATTTATAAGTTTTACTTATTATAAATACATCTGCTTCGCGCCATCTTCACAAATAAAAGGTTCATCATTACACTGCACTGATAAATTAGTCATAAAGACACTTTAAAAGGAATGAAGTCAATTGAAAGAGTATAATTAATATGAATAACCTTGCTTACATATATTTTATGTAAAGATTATCATATAATTAAAGCATCCAAGTGTAAGATTTTTTTTTTTACTAAGATTGCACGTTCACAAAAAGACATTCGAAACTCGCAAATTTTGTCTTTAGCTGAAATCAAAAAAAAAAAAAAAAAAAAAAAAAAAAAATTTGAACGAAAATTAGCAATCTTCTTAGACTCTTTAAAATTTGAGGAATTGCATAATATTATTAAATTAAAAGGTTTTTATTTTTTGCGTATTTTGCAAAAATTTATATTTTATTTCTTGACATAATGATTGCTAATATTTTACATTGTATATTTATGATCTTTTTTCTTACTATTAATATTTTCGTTTTGTAAAGTTCTCCCTTCTAACATTCCTGTAAAGATAGCATCTGCTAGATAATTTAACCAAAAAAAAAAATATAAATTACATTTATCAAAAGAGCTATTATGTCATAAAGAAATAATATCCATCAGATTATGAATTACATTTATGTGATTATTATTCTTAAATGCAATTCTAATTGAATCTACTCTTAATCAGATAAGGAAAAACAAATTTATTACATATCTATGATTAAACCCTTTTGATAGACGCCTTTATTATGAAGAATAGGTAAACTCGTTGATTGATACTCCGCTTTCTTGATGTAAGTGAGGAGGATTATCATTTGTTGATGAACTAAAAAGTAATCCAATTTGTGTAACATTTCTGATACCTTCTTTCCCTACCCTTGAATTTGACGAATCAATAAAAGAGAAGCTAAAATCTGTTGTTAATTCATTTCGTTGTAAATCGTATGATGTCGTTTTTAATTCTTTGATGGGTTCGTTAATTGCAACTCGTTGATCTCCTTCTGAAATGCGAACTTTCTTTGTAGTTACAGAAATACTTTGTTTTGATGCAGCTCGTCTCTTTTGTTTACAATTACGGAAAGGATCTCTACAAGTATCATTGTATAACATTGTCGAGTCAAATATCTTGTCTCCTTAAGAAATAAAAAAAAATTGTTAGACTTTTGATTCAACAAAAAGAAACCTTTTTTATTTTAGGATACCCACCTGATATTTCATATAATCTTTGAATTTCGGCAAAAGCTTCATCAACCGTTCCTCTCCTTATCAAAATATTTTGTTGAGTTTCATTAATTTCTCTACAATTAAAATATTCTATTAACTTAATTTTGGTTTCATTAATAAGGGAATCAAAATCACCACCATGTGCTTCCGAATAAAGTTTAGCAGCGTGAACATGTTTGCAAGTATCACGAAATCTTCCATTCCAAATAAAATCATAACACAATAAACATTCTCCTGTTTTAATGTTTGCCATATAATATCCTTCTTGCACGTTGGCTCCATACCCTGCAATAAATCTATTCATCATGACATTTAATTTTTCCATAACATTCTCATCTAATGAAATTAATTTACCATCATATGATGATGTTAAGGTAAGAGATGATTCACCATGTCTTTTAACATAATAACAGTATGGATCATATGTTGGTTTAACTAATCCTGATAAGAAATAAAATCTTCCAAGGTTTAAATTACGAACCATATCAGCTGGTTTTTGTGTCTTGGAATAATAATCATGATGATCAAATGATTGAGAATTGAAGAAAGCTATTAATCCAGCGTTATCTTGATTATCACCGCTGGTCAAATTATCTGCGTGTAAAACATCTCTGCATAATTTAATTCCAAAAAGCCTTTCAAGGAATGCTAAAGGTGTTAATTTACCATCAAGTTGAGCCACTACTCTTTTCGTGATCCGTTCGGTAAGGTTATTCGTGGTCATTGGTTTCCTCAACTGATCAGAATCCTGTTCAGGGTATTGTCTACAACTATCAACTATCATGGCACGCCATTCATCGCTCATCCAATTTATATCCAAGTCCTCCTTGATCGAGTTCTTTTGTGCGCAGGTTAATTGAAGCGAGTCAATAAACTCTTTAAATATTAATGCCATGTCAGCCGACTCTTCTTCCGTTCGACTCCTTCCAATTAACTTAAATCCCAACGCGATTGGATATCTAATAAATAAAAAAATTAATAGAAAATTTTAATTAAGCAAACTTATCACATCCTTTTTTGTTTTTCCTATAGAAAGTAAATTCTTTACATTACACACTTTTTTACCTTAATGCACGAGATACATCCCACGCCTTAAATTTTTCGGCCAACTTTTGCATTAGAAAAGTCCAAGAAAGACAAGTTCTAGCGACCACACCATCAAGAACTTTCTTTGTTGGAAGGTGTTGATCGATCATTGCAATTG